TGCCTTTGGCCCATGCTTCATTGTTGAGGAACTAATGCTGCTACAGGAACTATTATTATAGAGCTAAAATACTGGTTGTTTCTATTTCTCAGGTATTCTATGTGGCCTCTTTTCTATACACTGCCAACTACACCTGGCATCTGTACATGGACCTGAAGATGAAATACAATCAGAACCTTAACAGGATGCCCTCCACAGTAAGTAGGATGATAATGCACAACAGCTGTTGGGTACTGATGTATAACTGTGGGAGGTTTAAGAAGTACATGTATGACAGTTTATCTCGTCAGAAGGACTTTGAAGGTCCTTGTGCCCTGTGACTGTATGAACTGATGTATCTTGGTGGACTGCTTAGGTCAGCAGAGATACAGCTCAGTCTGCTACAGCATCTCAGTGAAAGGTTAAGCTTGCAAGACTGAAATGGGCAAAAGCAGTTGTCAGTGCATGTCACAGAGAAGAGGAAGCTGAGGACTGTGTATTGGTGGAGTTCTTCTGCAGAACAGCAGTTTGCACCAGTTGAATAAACAGTTTATTGCTTTCGCTGCCTACTGCCAGGGCATGGCAGAGGAATGGCTCTCTAAAGGAGAGCAGCAGGGACCTGAACAGTTTGGAACAGAGAACTGCAATTTCTGTCCTCCCCAGATGTCATACAGAATTCAAGAATGTCAGTAGTGTATTGTGAGAGTTTGAGGTAGGTGTGACAGAAGGGAGCTGCTGATAAAGCAGTGAGTTGGCTCCATGAAGAATGGGCGGTCCTGACTTCATCATCACTGACCTTTATAAAAGCCCATTTTGTAGCTGGTGTAATCACTGGGAACTGAGGAACAAGGACATAGTACTCAAATACGCTCTTTGAGTTACAGGCTAAACAAACACTTCACACGCCATGTGATCAAAATCTCTACTTGCAGTTGTTTCCTCACACCTGGCTAAACAGTTGCTCTGTAACTGAAATTCTTCCTGTTATACTGCTGCAGGACAACAGACTCTTTATGCAGCTCTTCCCATTGAACATATCAGCCCCAGCCCTGCCTACACCCTTCCTCTTCCCCAGATGTTTAATGTACACAGCAAACTTTGAGTCTCAGGTACTCCAGCTGTCTGTGCAGGAGAAGCAGGTGGAACAGACTAGTCTGTATTTCAAAGGGTCTTGTATGGATCTACTTGTAGGATTGGTTTCTTTCTTGATGGACTCCCATTCAAAATGCAGCACCTACATTGAGTTCCCTAGCACTACAGCTGTGCCCACATTGTATTCTCACAGCTGGTGCATGGATGCCAGCTGATAAAGTACATTTCCTGGTGAGCTGAGACCGGGACATCCAAATTGCCTGCATTTCTTCATCAGAACATGAAGTTTCTGAGGAACAGGGCCAGGTTGGATGAATAAGGAGTACAAAGAATGACTATTTACACCAAGGAGCTCATACAGTATCTGCTACTTGTCTGGTTCAAAGTTTCCCTCTCCAATTCCCACATTTTGAAGAAGGACATGTCAGTAAGCTTGTGGAAGTGTAGCTTGTGTCTATTGCACGTCAGCATTCACTGAACCCTGCAGTACTGATTCAATACGAAGTGGAAACAAACATTTGTATTTAGTGTGGGGATTTATCAGTACTTTAGAACCTGGAGCTGCTGGAGCACTCCCTAGGAGCTGGTTGCTGGGAGCTACTGGCTGTACAGTCATTTAACTAAACTATTTGGACTTTGCAGGCTGTAGATTATGCAAGTTGCATTGGCCGAGTAGCAACGATTTTGTCCAGGTAAGATTCATTTCCCTCTGGCAAAATGATGTGTTTGGTAAATTATAATGCACTGATCCCTGCTTTGTACTTACTCTGATGTGAGCTTTACTGAATGCTTAGAGCAAGAGTCTTTGGATGTAAGGGCCTTCTTCCAGCCAAGTTAGTTATAACTATATTAACCATATATAGTCTTTTTTCAGAGTGTGCTGCTTTTGCCAATTGCCTGTATGAATGAAGTGTGGAAATTAGCAAGTTGGTAAAATAATCCTCTAGAGCAATGTCAATAAAAAGAATTTCTAAGTCCTCTACAGTAACAGAAGAAAGAACGAGGATTGTTTGGCTGGCAGCAGTGCATTGCAATGCAGTAACTGTGCTGTTCTCCTCTCTTCTCTTAGCCTGATCCCTTTTCTCCTAATGGTGCCTGTGTTTTGCCTGGGCAACAGCAGTAACTGCTACCAGAACTTCAGTCAAAAGCATGGGTAAGTCTCATGCTTCTCTCTGAAACAGCCTCACCACTTCTGAGTCATGGCAAGAGCTCAGGCTGCTCCCTTTCTCCCCACAGGTGTCTCTTGATGCACACAGAAATGGCTGAGCCCACCAACGATCCGCTAACATTGAGCAGCTCTGTTTGCCGAGCAATACATTTCTATGGCATTGGGGTCTTCCTTGTTTCCTTTCTTATCAGCTTCATAGCCATTCTGGTAAGAAACATAATCCTTGCATGCTAGCCATTGCACAAGCTGGATAGTGTGAGAAGTTCTACTCCATTTCATCATTACATGAGTCACAAATTGCTTTCCATGCGAGATGTTTCTCAGTCTGCCAAGTTTGCTTGGATGATATTGTCAGCCAGACAGTGTGGGGAGAAAATTTGTGCAGTGCTGCTTTCCTTTTGGAATGGTTGGAGGGTAAGAGAAAATATAAATCCATCTGGAGCAGCCCATCTCAAACAGGACTCAGTAGGTAGAGGAGGCTTACAGAATCGCATGCCAGCTCAGTGCAAGAGACCAATCAATGGAGAGTTCTCAGTTCAGAGAAGATCACTTTCTCCTCAGAAGCACAATGTTGCGTAGTGTGAAGAGGTTTAATAGAACTGACGTTGAGGATTTCACCAAAAAACATAAGATACTCTGTTCTGCAGAGGGGCAAGTGAGATCTGAGCATGTGTTCAAAACACAAGCAAGAATGTGTGCTTATTCTTTTCAGGTTGTACTCATTCAAGCCCGAGGTTTGTACAAAAGGTTTGTAAACTCCACGGGATTCCTGGGAGATCAGCAGTGGGCAATGATTAAGATGGTGGAACAACGAGTGGTTTTTTACCCCATCGCATTCTTCTGCTGCTGGGCCCCAGGTTAGCAGTGAGCTGAGTTACGCTGACAGTATTCTCCTGAGACACAGTGCCTGGCAACGAAAGTTGAAGCAGGTGAGGTTAAAGCAACACCCTTTTGTCAATCCTTTCTCACAGCTGTCCTCCTTGGAATACTGAAGCTGACAGCTTCAACAAGCAGCAAAATCTACATGGCTCTTCTCATTCTACAGGTACAAACTTCACCCTCTGATGATTTGCTTTCTCTGCTTGAACAGATGAAATAGTGTTTGTCTATTTCTAATCTCTGCCCGACAAAACAGGGCTTTTCTAGCTATGAATGTAAATGCTTGAGTTGAACTTCTGCTTTTTGTTGGCAAAGAAGTTCTTTTTTGGTTGCTGTGTTTTTTGCAGACTTGAAAAGGTCTCAGTAACCAAAATCACACTATCATGGAGATCTCATTAAAAAGGACTAGAAGAGTTCCTCAGAATTCAGTTACATTTTTCATTTTCTCTGAGACTCTGATTGCAGTTCCTCCCCAGCACTTGTCCAGCTGTCTGATGTGCCGGAGGCAGAATTTAGCAGGGATTATTAAAATAACCATGAGATTTCTATAGCGCATGGGGGTTGCAGATAGATAAAATCATGCTGGAAGTGGGAGGCCTGGAGGAACGTCCCAGTTTTGACAGCCTGGCAGGGAGCTGCTGAATGCTGTGCAGTGCCAACTGATAAAGCAGCCCTGATCTCCCTTGCCATCTCTCCCAGGCACTGACAGCAGCTTCCCAGGGACTTCTGAACTGCATTGTGTATGGCTGGACACAGCACGTCTTCCTCTCCCTCAAACGCAACATCTGCCGCGACGTTGACACTCAGACTCCTCTCCTGCGCTCTCAGAAGAAATTCTATGCCAGCACACTCACTGCCAGCCCTCCGGACACTGAGGTGTCCACATCTACCCTGCTCTGATGAGTTTCTGCAGCAAAAATGAGAGTAGGCAGCATCCCAATGGGCCTCGTCGTATTTTAGCAAAGTCAGCCAGCACAGCTGTTGGGCTGTCTTGGTGTGAACTGTTTTATCATCAGCACAGTTAACTGTAGTGCTATGAGAGCCCAAGCAGATCTGTCAGAAAAGCACTTTTAGTGAAGATAGTTATTTATTTTACAGATTTCTATGGACTTGAACAGGATTCTTTGAACCTGGTAAATTTTTAGCACAGGCTTTCTCCTTATGGAAATATCTCTAGAAATACAGCAAATTATATGTAACAACTCCAAGACTAGTACAGCTCCTTAGAGGGCATGTGGTCAAAAGATGTTTTACTTTTCTAAGTGTTTGTCAGGTATTTGCCATTACAAGTTAACATTAAAGCAAAGATGAATATTTTTAAATCCATCTTTCAATTCAGTGTAAAAATAAGAGCAGGCACCCTCCTGCTAGCCAGCTGCCTGGAGCAAGACTGCAGAGCTGGACTGGATGATCTTAGAGACATTTTCCAACCTTGGTGACTCAATCATCAGCACACACTTCCATGCTTTGACTTTTCTCACATCTCCCTTCATGCCAACTCCTGCTTGGCCACAACACTCAGAAAATTAAGGTTCTTCTGCCCAGCGGAGCACCTCTCATGAACCTGGAGAGCAGGACTGCACGTGCATCTGTGTGTGCTCCTCTAAACGCTCAGGTGAATTACTGAGATCCCATAAATGTATCTTTAGCTGCAGTGAGAAGAAAACAACCCTGTATTTTTCATGCTCTTTAATTTCTCATAGTTTCATTTTTAGGGCCCAACCCACATTTATTTACATAGTTGGTTATACAAGAAGAGGAAATACTCAAGCTCTGTGTAATTAACTTTTATACAGTTCACACAGTTACGTTACATAAATCACTTTGTACAAATCTGAGACTGTCAGTCAGGGTTCAGGGATGTACGCACAGAGCCCCTCAGTCCTTCCCAAAGCTCAGCTGATGAGTTTCCCAGTGCTTTCAGGTTTTTTAAACTTCTTCTTCTTCGTCTTCTTCCATATTCTGCTCCTCATTTTCAAGAGTTTCAGGTGTCTCTATGGATGAATTTGTACAGAAAAGTGTAATTATTGCATTGATGTATTTGATTGCAGCAATGAGGAGAGCAACTAGAACGAGGGCAACGAGAACAGTGATTCCTATTGCAGTCCCAAAAGCTTTATTTTGGACAGCCTCTGCAATGGAGATCATGAGAGCTGGTGGAGGGCCACTGTCCACGCTGCCCCCGAGGCCATGGAACTGGCAGTCTGGTGGGGCCCAGCCAGCTTTGCAGTGGCAGTGTTCAAGGTTGTTACAAACCCCATTCCCCTTGCACAAAACCTTTGCATCACACTTGGTTCTGACGATGACATCTGTGCACGTTTTGTTAATGCAGATCTTCTTTGGACCACATTTGGTGCCGTCAATTCCTCCTCCGATATCAGGTGTATCTATGCTAGCATGGTGGGCTGTGCCCCAGCACCAATCCTCAGGCCCTGGAGTCTGAATGATGGTTTCAGACTTCTCCAGAAAGGCTGTCTTCTTTACATTCACGCACTGCAGCCTTCCACACAGAGCATTTTGGGGCTTACATTCCACAAAAGCAACTTCATTCCCATCGCCGCCACAGTTGCCAAATCGATCCCCTTTCATGTTCTGCTCTTTGAAGCAACTTTCTGGAGCACTCCGAGCTTCATCCCCAAAGACTTTTCTGCATAGTTTGTCATGGGACGCACATTTCCCACGGTAGCAGTAACCATTGTCACCGCAGGGCGTCCCGTCTTGCATGTGCAAATCCTCTGGACACCACTCGGAAGTCCCATTGCAATACTCAGGCAAGTCACACTCATCTACCTCTGGCCTGCACTTGTGCCCTGGAGGGTGAAAGTGGCACTTTTGACAGCACTGCCCAACAGAGCAGACAGCCCCCGGCTTCAACCTGCAATTCTGGAAGCAGCAAGGATTGCCTTGGCAGTGCTGCAGGCCCCCGCAGTCACACTGCTCTCCCTCATCTATCACCTTGTTGCCACAGGTCTTAAAGTAGAACAATCTGTTGGGCTCAGGGATGTTGTTTAAGCAGTTGCCATCCCCTCTGTTGAGCAGGTCTAAATAGCTTTGAATGCTGCAGTTGCTGAAAGCCGTGGCACCATCGATTGAACCTCCTGTCATGTAGCACTTGGCATTTCTACACCTGCACTCCTTTCTATCATGCTCCATCCCCAGGTTGTGACCCAGCTCGTGTGTAAAAATGGTTGCAAAGATCACAAAATCTTCTTGTATGTGAGATACAAGACCTGACTGGTAGCCGGGGTAGCAGATGCTGCCTACATACGCCAGCCCAACGGTGAGTCCAAAGTCTGTGTAAGTGAAAAGATGTGCAACGTCGTATTTGATCCTATGGGAAAGATACCTATTTCCCCAATCATTAAAATTGGTAAGAACTTCTTCTATATCTGGGCTGTACCTGATGAAGTTGCCACGCGTCCAGATCTCCAGCCCAATTAGGCAGATGCGAATCTTCAGAGGATAATAATGTATTTCTGATAAATTGATCGTATCTATAACCAGAAACATCACAGAGGTTTCATTGCTCCCTTGGAAGGTGAACAGCTGGTGGTCCACCACGACAAAGATCTCCACGTACCTGGTGTGCTGCAGCCTCTGATCCAAGCTTTGCTTCCCTAAGGGTTTTTTTGCCCCCAGCCAGCTTGGTTGCTTTCGCATGGCTATGTCCGTCAAGCCACATGCCGAGGACTTGTCCCAGCTCTCTCGTCGATAGAGGAGGTGCTGGAAGGTCAGAGAGCCCAGCACAGGCTCGATGCCGTAGCTCAGGTTCCCGATCCTCAGCTGTCCCCTCAGCCCCGCGCAGGTGCTCAGCGCTGCCGTGGAGCCGGGGCTGCCCTCCACGTAGCCCAGGTGGTGGCAGCCCTCAGGGACGTGGGGCTGCTCCACCACCCTCGTCCCGTGGGGGCTGTAGGTGATGAGCGGGAGGTTGTTCACCACCAGTCCTCGCATCTGCGTGAGGTGGACGATGCGGTTTTCGCCCTCTACCCTGATGACGTAGGACACCTCTCCCTGTGCTGACCTGCCTGCTGCCAGGACCAGTTTCCTCGGCCGGATGATCTCATGGACGGCGTAACCGGGCGGTGGGTGATGGCCGCCCACCTCAGGGAGGAGAAGAGCCCCCAGCACCACCCAGACCCGCAGCCTGAGGAGCAGTGCTGTCCCGGGGGCCTGGAACCATCTCACCACCTTCAAAATGGAGGTGAAGCACCTCACAAAGGCCACCCCTGTCACCAGCATCTCCATCTCCTCACCCTTAAGGCTCTCAGAGATGGCGCCTGGCTGCTCCCTTAAGAAGGTTCCGGAAAGGCCGCATCACTCCCGGCCGCCATGTTGTGATGTGGCAGCCTGCTCCCACAGCACTGCTCTCTAACAGCCCCTCCAACCTGAGCCGTTCTGTGCCTGATTCATTGCCTCGACTCCTTTGCCAGTCTGTAAACCTGTGGTCTCCAGCCCTCTTTATCACACAGCCCTATCGGTGTAGGTTTCCTGAGAGCTCCTTCCCAACATACCCATATTTATTTATTTGTAAATTGTGTGCTTGCTCCGCTGTACTTCTAAAACACCCCACGATGGAGACCCGTGCTGCAAACAGCACCCCCAGGGCACAGGTTGGGGTTACCCCTGCACGGCCAGCCTGTGCTTTTCGTACACAGCTGAATGGGAACTGCTGAGTCCTGGCCTGAAGCACAGATTGAGCAGCTGGGGAAAGGACCAGGTCAGCCCTGGGAGCGCAGGTGGAGGCAATTCATGTGTGTGATCAGAAGGGCTGGAGGCTGCCTGCACCTCTCTTAGACCTCATTTATGGCTGACTGCCACTGGGGAAGGATCTCTTTCTGCAGATCTCTCCCCTGTGAGCCTAGATCTTCAGAGATGGGTGAGCAGTCCTTTTTTTTTCCCTTCCCTTATAACACCTTTCTGTGGGGTTTGTCCCTCTGTCATTACACATCTTGTATTGCCTTTCCATTGCGTTGATCTTTCTGGTTGTTACACACTGGTACAAGCAAAGGCTCTGCCTCAGCCACCCTGGGATCCTCACTGCTCCATGTATCGCTCACAGCGATGACTGCCTGTGCAAACCATCAGGATTTCAAATGAACCTGAGCCCTTCTGTCATTTTAGTCTTGTTTTTTTTTTTCTTACTGACATCTATCAAAACAATTTCATTTTGCTATCCTACAGAAAAGAAACTGAGCTTCCCAAACTGTACACTTCTACAGAATAAGTTTTAAATGAGTCCACTGCAGCTGTGTCAGGAGTCAGTGTCTGAGCCCAGCTGCAGCAGATCAAGTCCTATACTGGGGAGTTTTGACTCTCAGCTGATTTGGATTCACTTTCTTCCTTCTCAGGATCCCCCTCTCTGGACTGACCTCGTCCAGCAGGCCTGCTCAACAGTTGGTTTGCCATAAACTTTCTGATGTATTCAATGGCAAGTGCTGCAAGTATCAGAACAGTGCCAGTCAGTATAGTAATCCTGACAATGGACTTAAAAAGCCCTTTTTTCGTGACCGGTGTTGGGCCGCTGTCGATGCTTCCTCCAAAGCCAGCATACTGGCAGAAGGGAGGTGCCCAGCCATTGTCACAGTGACAGTTTCCTTTAGTGTTGCAAACGCCCTTTCCTCTGCAGGTTGTGTTGGCAGAGCAGTGGGATGCCAGGTACTTCTCCTCAGGGACACATGTCCGATTGATGCAGATCTTCTTCTTGCCGCACTGCGTGCCATCCTCAATGACTCCAGCATCTGAGGTGTCCAGGCCCACGTGATACTCCGTGCCCCAGCACCAGGTATCGCCCACTGGGGTTTGGATGATGGTTGAGTGATCTGCCTGAGGCAGGTGTCTAACATTAGTACACTGCACCCTCCCACAAAGGACGTTTTCTAACTTACATTTCTGAAATTTGGTGTCTGTGCCATCTCCCCAGCAGTTGCCAAACCGATCCCCTTTTGTGTTCAGCTCCTCGAAACATTGTAGTGGAGCAGGTTGTGCTCTCTCACCAAAGATATTCCGACACTGTAATGTGTGAGATCTGCATTTTCCTGAATAGCAGTATCCATCTGCAGCACACGTGGTTCCATCCTGCTTGGCCACATCCTCTGGGCAATGCTCAGATGTCCCGTTGCAGTACTCAGGCAGGTCGCATGGATTGATGCTCTTCCTACACACTTCTCCTTCTGGAAGAAGCTTGCAATCCTTGCAGCACTGTCCAGAAGTGCAGATGGCTTCTTCCTTCTTTTGACAGGTATTGTCACAACAAGGGTCTGACTTACACTGTTCCTCTGAGCCACAGTCACATTCCTCCCTGTCCTCCAGGATACCGTTCCCGCAGCGCTGCGGTACAAATCTCCCTATAGATGATGGAATGTTATTCAGACATTTTCCTTGCCCTGATGTTATAAAATCAAAATAGTACTTTGTGCTGCAGTTGCTGAATCCGTAGCTCGCTGTGCTCTTTGGGTTCATGATGCATTTAGAGGCGTTTCCACACCTGCAGTGTTCGTCATCGTGCTCCATGCCAAGGACATATCCTAACTCGTGAGCGACATGGACTGCCGTGTCAATGTAAGTCTGTTTTGCAAATGATACAACAGCAGAGGAGCGCTGTCTGTTGCATGCACTGGCAAAGTTTGATTCACCATCCGTGTGCAATGCTCTTGTACTGTGACTGAAGTCCAGCGAGGCAAACAGACACCCCACATCGTGCATGATGTGTGCAGGGCTATGCTGAATGCGCCAGCGATTGAAGCTGTGAAGGACCTGAGTTAAGTTATTGGTGATACTGATAGGGTTCTTCTCTGTCCAAATCTCCAGTACCGTTAATAACACGCGAAGGCGGACAGAGGAAAACAGTCCATCCACCAGATTGATTATTTCAATAACCTCTAGTGTCACATCTCTTATACTTGTGCCAAAGGAGTCAAACCCCTCTTTGTCCACCACCACCATGAGTTCCAAGTACCGTGTCCGTCCCCAGGGCTGGAACTGCCTGGGTGCTGTCCCGCGACCTGGAAATCGCCTGCCACCTTGGAGTGTTTTGTAGATCACTGTCCCAGGAACTGCCACCTCCCTCTGCAGCAGAAGGTGCTCAAATGTGGAGGAAGCTGCCAGGGGCTCGATGCTGTAGCTCAAGCTTCCAATTTGCAGCAGTCCCCTGAGCCCAGAGCAGGTGGTCAGAGTCACCATGGAGTCCAGGATTCCTTCCACATAGCCGTGGTAATAGCAATCTGCTAGCACGCGGGGCTGCTCGATCATCACCTGTCCTTTGGAGTCACGAGTGAGTATAGGGAAGTTTTTAATTACAAAGTCTTTCTTCTGCCTGAGGTGAATGGTATAATTCACACCTTGAATGCTGATGAAGTAGGACGTGCTGCCCTGGCTGGCTCTGCCTGCCTTAGAGCCAGCTTTCTTTGGAGTTACTATCTCATAGGCTGCATAGCCCCAGGTGGGCTGGGGGCTGCAGTCTGCACACAGCAGCAGGAGCCCCACAGACAGGAAGGAGAAGCCCAATACAATAAGAAACCTGCTGCCCATTGGGACACGCCTTGGCACAAGCCCTGGTTGTGTCCAGTTTGAAGCCATGGTTGTCAGCTGGAACGAAGGGCCCAGGGAGTGTCTGTTTGTCTGGCTCCTATTTGAATGCAAACATTCCATGGGGAGTACAGGCAACGGCAGGACCCTGGCATCAGCACAGGTAGGAGCAGCACCCCATTACATACACCCCAAATACTGCATCCTGCTGGGGCTGACCCTGTTTGCTGAGAGTGCGATGAGCCAGTGCTGCTGTGGCAATTTGTTTAAAAGGGGATTAAGCATTCATCAGTGGAAAGGAATAGCAGATTACCAGGAAAACAATGAGGATTTGGTTGCTAATGGTTTCAGCTGCAGGGTGAGAGCCTGTAGTTTATGCTGACAGATATCTTTGCAGGGCACATCACTGAATGCTTTATTGTTCAAGGGCAGTTTTTTTTGCTGGAAAGGGAGAGGCATATTTTGGGTCATGTACTCTTCTACATGTAGAAGACAGTCACAGAGCTCTTGCAGCTGGTTTGTCTGCTTTAAATACTCCTGAATATTTGGGAATTGTTCTTTGCCTGAACCAAGGTCCACCAGTTTCTCCCCTCCTGGGTTCCCACCAGCTGCCAGCCCTGCCAGAAGTGCCTGCCCTGCTTCACCTGCAGTAAGGCTCATTGCTCCTGCCCCAGGGAATGCTTTTGTCAGAATGCAGCTGTTAGACTTCAGCAGGGGAAAATGGCAAGAAGCACCAAGTGCTACCGCAGCAGCACAGAATAATTCATCCCTCCCTTCCCTGGAAGCTGTAGCTACCAGAAAAAAACCCGTTCCCCCAACGGGGTTAACGCGCAGCACGGCGGATGTCCTGCTGCCACCTGATGGCAGACGGTGGTTAAAGCTTTTCAGAAGACATGAATTCACGGGCTGGGTAAAACCCTGTCTGTCTTCTCGTTCTCTCCTATCAGTGACACAAAACCAAAGCTCCACAGCACTGCTGCTAGGGCAGAGGGGACGTGGGGAAGCTCAGGGTGGCACCAGGAGCACGGTGATCCCTCCCCCCCCAATCCTCTTCCCTTCACTGCCAAAGGGACTCGGGGACCAAACAAAGAGGCCACCAGTAAGTTTAGTAAAATCATTTATATACACCGATGCGTAATATTTACAATATAATACTGATCAGAAATAAACTAACATGTTACAGGTAACACTGAAAAGGAGAAATGCAAATGTTTTCATACACAGGAGTTGAACGTGGCAGATGAGGACAGATTGATTCTAAAAGAAAAATGTGAAGGTGTGACAGCAAAACTTTGACATGTTGCTATTTCCAATCTTTCTCTAGTCAAGTTCTTCTAACCTTTTAATACATATGCCTTAAATAATCAAGTCACAGGAGAAGTCAGATATACATAAAGTTTTGAAAAAGTCAAATGATTTGAGACTTTTCTCTTAAATAAAATTCTAGAAAAACAAACCAACCAACCCAGTGACACAGCTTCCCCATTTCCTTTTAGTGTTTTTACAAAGAATGTCTTCCTTGTTCCCACACAACCCTTCCATCTCAAGATATTTACAATATTCACAGTCTGCTGTAAAGCATCAGTAGATTGTTACCACTAAAAGGCTACACAACCAAGATAAGGTATCCTGCATTCATGTCAACTGAACAGAAACACAAAAGAGAAAGTAAAATATCACTTCAAAATATGCAAGTGAGATCAATTCAAGTGTATTTGATT